GAACACTCAACCATCCATTTAATGGACACTTATGAAGAAAGGTTTCAGGAGGCAAGCTGAACAAAGAGCCTACTTGAGAGTTGGAGTTCAACAAAGATTAGAACTGTTTGAGCTGTCCTACCCATTGTAAACCACGTAGTAGAAAATTCCAAGATTTAATTAGTGGATAACGTACTTAACACCACAATTTAATCTCAGTTTGCTCCATATGTTGTCCTTTACACGACACTGAGAGGTTTTTGTCTAACAAGACACAGATTCCAGTTCAAGATGTGGAAATCATGTCAACGTACAAGCAGATTACATTTTAATGTATGTTAAAATACAAATTTAAAAAACCTACATGTTATCCAAGAATGGAAAATGTTCCTTACCTGCCGGTCCTGTCAGTTGGAGAGGAAGCAGGCCTGAGATGTCTGTGTGTCTGGGAAAAAGATGAATGACTGGTGCGCAAAGAAAATGATTTCGTAGTTTGTTCCAAATTCTAAACGAGCCATTGCTCCAGGGTACGACTGCCGACATAAACTGTGACACATGTGATTTCTTACTCCCAACCCAAATTATGATAGTTTGGACTACTGGAGCTCTGGCTCCAGGTCCTCAGAGGCACAGGAAGAGGAATTGGTTATGGGCTCAAATAAGTCAGTGGTTGGTAACAGGAATAAATGCTTCCACTTACACAAAAAAACAACACATGACCTTCTTATTGATTTAAAGCTGGACTAATCAATATCTTTATATAAACAATGACAAACAAATGACTATGTGTAATGTAAAAGGTGTTGCTCGTAGTGACAAACCCACGGAAAATGATCTCCTAACATTGCAGTTCCACTCGGCTATATGGAACGTTTTAAAAACTTTTAGCTCATTGTTTTTGTTAAGGGAAGCTGCATTTTTCAACTAAAAAGCTCTGACAAACCCACTGCACGCTTCCTGCTCAGTACCAACCGGCAGATAAAGTTAGCAGCTAGCCGGTGAACAAAGTGGCCGTTGTGTTTACACTTTTGTCCTAAAGTTTACAGGTTGTTGAGTGGCCCAAAGACAAATGTAATGCTGGTTTAATAATCATAAATAAGATGAATGTTTGGTCATATGTTGTATATTGTAGTATATTATGTCAGATGTCATGTACTTATATGTTCTTCACTCTCTTATACTCTGTAACAGAGGTCACTATGTACAATATAATTCAATGGAATTCATTCTTATAGTGTATGTATATGCACTCACTGTATATCACAGCATGCCATCTATTAAGAGAGAAGTTCCAGAAAAATAATCATTTTAAGTGCTACGGTAGGTGGGAGGACCCCTATGTGATATGATTTCTTTCCCTAACTGGTAAGAAACTATTACAACCAAGACATAAGTTCCTATGTGTAGGATAAATGCAGGGAGCAGCCCATTTACTGACAAGGTGAAGCTTAACATGAGAACTGAATTCAAGGGTGGCCAAGATCCACGCAGGCCATCTGCCAAGAATCCAATACAGCAAATGGTTGGATCCGTGTAAGCCCTAAGCTGACAATAAAGTCACTATGCTTAAAAAGATGCTAACATCTTTAATGGGAATGAAAGCCACTGCAGCAGAATACAAATCCTGGCTGTTTTCTCTCGTGTTCCCTGTAGCCCAGACTTTTATCCGCTTCCATCCAGCACACCCTGTGAAGTTGATTAATTGAACACTTTGGGACAAAAGGGAAACTTTTCTCAACTTTGGCCATGACTAACCCTCTGTGTGGACTTTGGGAAATTAAAAAAGGCTGCTTTGCTTTATCTCCTGATCACAAGACAAGGTACTCAAGTGCCAATAAATAAAAAAGGTATCAAAATTTCACATAGATGGCAGATCAAGATGAACAGTCTCGTGCTGGGGGGTGTTTGCCACCTGCTTTGGGACAGGCAAGAGGGGGAGTGCGGGGTAAACGTGGGGTCATGGCTGTCAGCAGTCTCTCAGTTATACAGGCCAAGTGGGACTGCAGATATGAGGAGGGCAGAAACTACAGCGATGACATGATGAGGGACCCGGGGGTTATACAGTCACACTACCAACATCTTCTTCATTCAGCATAGCATAGCGTTTAAACTCTGTGTGTGTGTGTGTGTAAACATTCCTTTAAGGAGTTTTCTCTCAGGACTCTTGCTCTGTCTCGTATGATGCTCCCACAGTGGAAGCCTGTTCACGACCCCTATAAAAAGAGAGGGATGCCCACTTCCTGCTACCCTCAGGCGTGCCAGTCCTGCCTCAAGGGAGAGGGGCCCCATAATTTATTATTTGTTCCCTCTTGTTAAGGAAATACTTTCTCAATAGCTCTTTCTCCTTTGTATATTTTTACTGTTCTTATTTTCTTCCTTGATTCAACTCTGTCCTCTCTTATTTATTTGCTTTCTAAACACCAGCTTGGTTCATTACGTCCAAGCTGCCATGAAGAGACTTTTGAGGACAGTGTTTATTTGTCTGGGTGAACCTGAAGGGGAAAAGACTATTTTGGGGATACCTATGTGTAGGTGACAGCTGAGCTGAGTCATACAAGCTGACCTCCATCAGCATTACCTCAGGCCTTAATCAGATTCCTCCGCTGCAGATTGAAGATATGTGGACTGACACAACGAGCTCAGATGTCATAATTTATCAGCCCGGCCCTGCCACTCTTAATGTAAAGACATTCCTGCACCATGTGAAGTTAATGGGATGTTATGTCCACAGCATATGTTGTGTGAAATGGTTTCTTTCAGCACGAGCAAAAACCATCATGGAACATTCAATTTCACAGCAAATATTACCCAGAGCGACCAAACTCACGTTTATTCCTAGCAGTGACTTCTTTGTTTGTTGGTGTTGGTCAGGTTTGGCCGCTTTCTCAACCCCCCACTCACCCTCAAAAAAAGGGGAAAAAAAGGATGAAAAGGCCAAGCAACTGGCTGACCACTGATCCATGACTCAGCTTTGAAAATCTCCGCCTTCAAATCAAATTGTCCAGCTTCAAGGAGCAGAGGTGCCACAGTCTTGCCCCGGGCCACTCAATGTCACCAGCCAGCTTTGAGGGGTTAACGCGCATTTTTCTCAGTTGTCAAGGACGTGTGATGGGGGCAAAGGAAAACAGAGGCGTATAGAGGTCACCACACTCACAAATATCAAGTCTTTGAAATACTTAATTGGGTTAGAAAAGAAGCTGCGATTGCTAGGATTAACACAAATCCAGAAATTAGTCTTTTAACATTTTTTTAACAAGTTTTTGTAAAAATATCTCAACACCATCTCGACTGGTTAGTTGACTCATTTATTTTGTGTAAGTGGTTTTATAAAAATGTCATTTAGGGTTTTCTAATCGTCCTTCTAACATCTTTGTTTTACCCAGAGAGAGTCTCTCTTATAATGTATCATGGATGTTCACTAGATTACGGAGCTGTTTATTGTCATTATGAGAATATGTTTTCTTAAGATATTGTGTGGCTTCCAATACAACATTGATGCTGTGTGTTTTTAGCTGTGCCAGCGACATGGATCTAGCTTGGCAATGTCAGTTGGCCCATCACTGAAATATCCCAACAACTACTGGATTGATTGTTATGAAATCTGACATTCATGGTTCTCAGAGGATGAATCCTGATGGTGATCCACTGACTCTTCCCCCAGCGCCATCATGGGGCTGACATTTGTGTTTATTTTTTGTTCAGACATTATATTACAATAACTTGATTTCTTCACTTTTAATCTATAGCACATCATCAGGTCAATATTTTAATTTGTCCAATACTCCCTTCAGTCTCAGCTGTACTTTGTGTTAATGTGCTAATTAGCTAATGTTAGCATACCGACACATTAAACTTAGATGGCAAAAATGGTAAACATTATATCTGCTAAACATTAGCAAGTTAGCATTGTCACTTATAGCATGTTAATATGCTAATGTTAGCATTTAGCACAAAGAGTACAGCCATAATATATTTATTGTACTGGAGTGAACGAAATGTCTGATGTTATTTTTAGATGTTTATTGTCAAGGCTGTTGTGTGTTTATGTTACCCACAGTAGTCATCTGAATTGACCTTATTTTTCTCCTACTAGGTGTTATTACGGTGTTTTGGGATATTTTATTGATTGGTCACAAGGGTTGTTTGTTGTTTTGTGACATCATTTCTTCTCTTTCACAGCTGTCCGAATACAGGTGTGCAAAGATTACTTTTCCTGTACAGAAGCATCTACAATAGCAGGATAGATGACGAATTTCCTTAAAGTCTAAATTTTGTTATTCTGGTCCAGTCTATTTTATGTATTTCCTTGATTTACATACCGTCAGCCACCTTTCTCCCAAGAGGCACAGCAGAGAAGATAAAAGTAAAAAAAGCTTTTTTGGAGGAAGACAATTTTCTTAGATATTCTTGTTTTTACCACAAGGCAAAGACAGAGCAGTCCCATGAGATCAGGAACATTGGGTGGTTCATTGGCTTTTTATTTGAGAGATTTAGAAGGCAAACGGCGTCTTCCAGCTCCTCTCCTCTTAGGACTTGACTGAGCTCTGCTGTTCTGAGAAAACAGACACAGCGGCTTCCTCCTGAGCCGGCCATGTTTCATGTCAATTAAACAAGTCACTGTGGCCACCCAGCCCCAGCCCCGGCCCTTTCTCCAGACACTGAACTCAATTATTACAGAGGCTAACTCCTCATCACCACAAGTGCACTGAGTGTGGCTAATCTTATCTGATCCATTATTAGCAGCATTTTTCATCTTTATGACAGAGCTAACAAGCCTTTGAGATCGTTAATAGCTGGGAATGTTCAAATCTCACGTTAAGCATGAAGATGAATGAAAGAAGGATCACAGAACATAAATCACTCTGCATAGTTTTATAGTACGAGGGAAAGTCTTAAGCCAAAGGATTCACAAGCAGTTCTCATGAAACAGAGATCTTCACAAAAGAAATCACACAGTATGAGGCGATCTCTCAGGCAACTACTTTTATTTAATTTAAATCTAAAGCACATTCTGACGCTAGTGCAGAAGCAGGAACCAAAAATGATTTATCACAGAGCAGTTTGAAAGTCATGTAGAAAATAAGGAAAAGATTACAGAGGAATGTATTACCAAATGCTTATTTCTGAAATGACAGAAAATTGGGACATTGCTTTTCAAAGGAGAAATAATGAATCACACAGGCTTTTCTTGTAGCAAGATCCAGGTGCTCGTTTTGTAAGAGCCGCAGAAAAACAACTTCATGAACCATTTGAAAAGCAAACAGTGCACTGCACACTTGGCTGTCAGTGTCATAAAACCAACACGAATGCACGACTGTAAAAGCAAAGGGAAGGCGAGATGCTTTTAGTAACCAAAAGGGAGAGCTGTCAATATGTTTGCTAACAGTGAAGGGGTCAAAGGTTAAGAGCTCGTAATCAAACAACATTTGAGTGATGGACGAGGTGCTATGACTCTACGGAGCCACACAGTTTAGCTTGTGAGTGTGTTTCTGTGTGTTTTTGCGTGGGACTTGTTCAACAAAGAGGGGACAAAACATTTATGTATCATATCAGTTGAGCTGGTATAGATAAAACCCACTTAAGGAAATATCCCTGCCAGACACTGAATGGATACACACTCATCGCACAGCCCCCTCCCCATCCTCCCACCAGTTTTAGACAGCTCAATCTTTCTTAGAGTCTCGGGGTCATCTGCCAGCGACCTGTTATCAATGGCCCGGCTTAGGCCTCCAGACGGCATTAATCTGTCATGATAAGTTTACATCTGTTTAAATTGCTGCGTTGGTACCTTAAGCTTCTTCACAGAGCGGATTTGGGTGCTTTTTCACGTTTCTCTTTTGTCTATTTTCTAATCCATATGGGGTGGGGGAGCATCCGGCCACACTCCAGCCAGGCAGTCTGACTCTCCGGCCTCAAGTCACAGGTTGCACAGCCTCTCCTCCTCTCCCTCCACCAGACTCCTGAACCAGAGAAACACATAAACACACAAAGTACAGGTGACCAACTGGATCAACTCACGCAGGTAGAGCAGCTGCACCTGTTGTGGTCCATGTGCACCAGAAACACAGAACAATTTATTCAGGTTTAAAGTTTATTCTTGATCCTGGAAACAAAAGTTTACAAACTGTTATTTTCTGTATCAATTAATCTGCAGATTAATCTCCAAGTTAATGAACAAATTAATCAAGTTAGTTATTTAAGTTTGGTTCATAAAATTTGGAGAAAAAAAAATAAAACATTCCCGCCACAATTTGTAATTTCAAAATGTTTTTGTTTTCCAACAAACTGTCAAAACCAATTAATTGATTATCAATATAGTTGCCAATTTATTTTCGACAAATCATTTCAGCTCTAGTTCATTTAGCCGTTCTGGAGCTTTCAATCATGAACCTTGAACATGGACATTGAGGTGACGAGAAGTCCCCTGTGTGTGTGTGTAAATTAAAATTCAGCAACTTTTTGAAAATTGGTTTATTGTTTTGAGCTATTTTCTAAGAAAAAAAAGTCAAATGTGAATATTTTCTTGTTTCTTTAGTTCTCAATGAGAGTAAACTAAATATCATAGGATAAACCTACAACTTCATTGATGCCACTCAATCCTACACACTGGTAGCCCTACAATAACAGATTTTTGGACACTTGGAGGCAGCACAAACCGGTTGTAAACAGAATATTCACATAACTGTATATCATATGAACTTAATATGACGAACTTGTTAGCAAACATTTGCCTATTTACACATCCAGCAGACAAATGGCAACATTAACATTCATTTGAAGTCACATTTGTGTACACATGATGAATTTAAGTCCAATATCCATCCTCTTTTTAACCGTTTTTGGTCTCTACCAACTCCTGAGGGAAATAGTGTCACTAACTGTGTCTGTCTGCTATTTGGTGCTGAGCAGGTTTTTAAAACTATTTCACTGAAAACAGCTGCATGCTACATCTGGAAACTCTGATGATGAGACTGATGAGAGTGAACCAAAATAAAACAACAAAGTTGATGAGGAGCCTCATTTGATTCATTGTTAATATAAAAACATTGAATATAGAAGTTTTAAGATGTGACCTAAAGTACAGCCATCCACTGCAAAGCGTACAATTAACTAAAAAGGATGGTCCTTAGGTCTTTAGGTGAGCTACTTGTTGCTGTGTCATGCAGCAGCCGGAGCAGACCACAATGAACAGCAGAAAGAATTACAGTGTAATATGGTTCACATTAGCAGTGAGCAAAAGCAGTGAGCATCTGCCTAAACTGCTCTGAGATGCTTTCACAGGCGATAAGCCACCCAGTAATGGCAGCCTGGGGTCATTAGGGTCTGTTGTGCAGACAGTTTGCCACGGCACGGAGAGAATAAACAACCGCCATTTTCATTTCTTATTCATGGTTTTAATCACGGATGACAAAACATCCAGTAAATAAAAAAAGAGAGGAAAAAAAGAGTTGGCATCAACTGTGTGCCTTTCCTATTTCTTAAATGTCTCTGGGACAGTCTGTTGGGAAACGAGAGGGAATTAAAACTGTGGCGAATTTGGAAATGTGTGTAAAGAGAGGGCTGACATTAACAGGCTGGCGTGGAGAAGAGCTGGCAGTGGCCCAGCACACAGCGCTGACAGTGTGGGGTCTTTGCCCATTCTAATGAGGTATTGTGAGGGTCTGAGCTCAGGTCTGCAGCAGGGCCCCCTGGGGGTCAGATGCAGTCGGATGTGCGATGGAGGGACCAGGAGGAAGTCCGTGGCAGCAGGATGAGATGGGCTGAAGTGCGTCACTCCACATACCAGGATGGCAGATGGTTAAACAACCTCAGTGGAAGGAGGGAATGACATGAAACGTCTTCAAGGTCACATACAGGAAACTGCATCATATTCAGGAGCTGTTTCCTGTGGCCTGATGTCAGCCCTTTGTTTGCAGGAATATCTTATTATGAACAATGCAGGTGACATTATGCGAAATGCTTGGACAAATATTGGACTTCACGTGATCTTGCGGAAATACCGCTAACGCAGAAACTTCTTGTGGACCCGTCATTTCCACATGTTTTCTTGTGTGCTTTGCAATTTGCTCATTTCGTTATATAAAGAATGTCAAAAGTAAACAGAGCATCGAGTTAATTTAAAATCTAATGAACTCACCCCTAGGAACATTATGCGCTTCGCCCTGAACAGTTCACATTCTCCTCGACAGGTTTAAATAATGTGTGGCACTTTATTGAGCACCACAGGGGGACGCCTGTTTTCATTTGACCCCCCGCCGCAGAGATGGGAATCTATAAGACATGTCAGGGAAGGCTGTGGATGTTAATTGCAATCAGAAACTCCAGCAGTTGACTTTATGACTTGAACACCTTTAAACAGGAGAAGACAAACTAATCAGTGAAACCACCTGGTGCAGTGTTTTTGTTGGAATGAAAACCTCCATGTTCTCCAGCAGACATTTTCTGTCCATCCCTGCCCCAGAGTGCTTGTTCAAGTCCTCCTATTGACTGACAGTCTCGCTTATAGTTAGACCTCCCTGTCCCAAAGTCTTCTTATCTTCTCTGGTATAAATGTGCCGTGCTGTACGTGACATGGAGTGTGTTTTAAAAATGCAGGCGTTTCATTTAAGAATAACAACCCGGAGCTCTATTTAAGAGGGGAATGAGAGTTGTGTAGGTATGGATGACCACTGTGAGTGCTGTATTTATGGCAGCTCGTCATTACAAAATGGGTCAGCACAAGTACATCACGTTCTATTATAGCATATTAGGTCGTTATTAAACTGTAATTATTGCTGTAAAGTCAGTCCCTGGAGGAAAGATTCATTTTATCTTCCCTGCCCTAAAACACATGCATACACATCTATCTACAATATATACAGCCTGCCTACAGCTATACTGTATTTGGCATCCTAGGTTATGTAATGTAATTCAGTCAAATTTTAAGTTATTAATATGATTATTTAAAATGATCATCATCATCGTCATCATTTGTCTTTGCTGCATTTTGAATGTAATTCATTAAAAATTGTTGTTGAGCTAACAAACTATTAAAACAATCTCAGGAACAGGAAAAAACAGCATTTCATCATATATTTATATATTGATATGTTCTGACCTGTAGGCAGTGATTTCCATGTCTCTGGCCATTTTCTCACTGAGCAGCTCCTTGTAGTCTTCACACTGCTCTTTCATCTGCACTTGGAAGTCGGCCTCCTGGTGCCGCATTTCATCTATAGTACACTAAATCACACACACACACAC